ATCACCAGTCATTAGGAAAATGCAAATCAAAACTATAATGTGAGATTACTTCATATATATTAGCATGGCTATTGTCAAAATAAAGAAAGTACTGGCAATATGTGAAGATTATGCCTTACTGTTGGATTGTAAAATTTCTTTGGAAAAAATGTGGCAGTTCCTCAAAAAGGTAAACAGAAAATTACCTTACAACACAGCAGTTCTACACCTGGTACATTCCCAAAAGAGTTGAACGAACAAGCTGGACTCTGTAATCCTAGCTTCTCAGGAGGCTGAGATCTGAGTAGCTGGTTCCCAGTTCAGAGCAAGCCCAGGCAGGCAAGTCCATTAGATTCTTATCCCCAATTAACCACCAGAAAATTAAAAGTGGAGCTGTGACTGGAGCACCAATCTTCAGGAAAAAGTGCTCAGGGACAGTGCCCAGGCCCTGAGTTCTGGCCTCATGACTGACAGAAAAAAAAAAAAGGATTCAAAGAACAGATGTGTTTATATATGCATATTCATAGCAGTATTATTTACAATAAGCAAAAGATAGAAACAACTCAAATGTCCATCAGAAAATTAAACATATGGTCTGAATCTTGTATATATGTATAAAATAAAATATTACTCAGCCTAAAAAGAAATGAAATGTTGATACCTGCCGTAATGTAAACATACTTAAAGATGGTACATTAAGTGAAATACATAAAGTTCAAAAGAATAAATACTACATAAACCAGGTACTTACATAAAGTACCTCATTTCATTACAGAAAATATATACCTTCTAGAATTTAATTAGTGTTAAATCAAAAGCATTATAAGGGATCATTAGTAACAAAGGAAACACAATACAAATATTTACATGATCACTTATATTAAAGAAAAAAATCTGTAATCAGTGAGCAACATGTCAGAATCCAGTTCACATCTAAAGCGAACCTTAACTTGTTCCTTGAATTTCCTTGGGAAAGTCTGTGTACATTTAGAAGAAAGTGACCTGGTATCACCCAACATTAGGTAACAGCAGTAAGGTGTGGCTCAAAAAAAGAACTTAACCGTATGTAGAAATCAAATGGGGAAAAGCTTTTTGTTGCTGTAGATTACTACAGGAATTAACATGCAGCTTTAGTCAAGGGTGAACGCAATTTCAGCACATAATAAAATAAAGGTCAGCCTCTCTTGGAACCACAACTTCCTATTACCAAACAGAGTTGCTTCCTTCCAAACTATTAGAAAAGTAAAGCCAAACTATTGATTCTTCAGAGTTTATAAAGGGCTAAAGTTTCATAAGCTTGGTGAAATAATCCTAAATACAAAAATAATTTATGTAAGAATATCCAGCATAGGGTTATTTTGAAAAAGAATTGGAAACCAAAAACAGAGAATGGTTAAGTAAATATAGTATTTGATGGAATAAAATTCAAACATTAAAATCAAAGACTTCATAGAAGTATCAGAAAGTTTTCAGAGAAGCCCAAAAATTGGGAACAGAAACTAGAGAATAAAATATTTATAGCTAGGTTTCTATTTTTATTAATTAAAATATAGAGAAAAGATACTGGAAACATATGCACTAACTATAGTTTTATATGGAGCTAAGAGAAATTTTCATGCTTTTCTGTTTTTCCAATTTTTACTTAATGGCTATGCCTTACTTTTAATAACGATTAAATAACCAAACATAAAATGCTTTATTAATCTTCAAAATATCCCTCTTGAGCAAATAGGGTTCAAGTAAGTTTAACATGGAGCAAGCTACCATGGAAACCTTCAAAATACCCTAAGTAAATAAAAAAAAGGATAGATTTAAAAGAAATCCATCAAAGGGGAAATTTCTTTGTTTTTTTTTTAAAGTAGATTCTAGGATCACTGGAATACACAAAGAGAAAGAGAAAGGCCAGGCAGGCAGAGAGGGAGGAAGAATAGGAGGGAGTTAGAAAAGCAAAGGGAAGGGAAGAGTGAAGTAAAGAAAAGGTCCAATCATATGATACTTCTTGGGTATGCACCTGGCCTCAAGCAACAGCATATATCCATATAAAAGGAAAATAAAATAATTTACCTAGACTCTCCGACAGTGAATAAGACCAAATGCTAAGTCCAGGTTCCTCAATGGCCATTCTAATGATTGTAGAAACTAAAACTTTGGTTTGGTGGCTTATAAGCCAAGAGTCGGAGCGTATGTTTTTAAAATGACAGTGCTTGTAATATTCTGTTTTGTTTTGCAATTGAAAGCTACCTAAAACCACTAAACTTGCCAGCACACACATACAAGCCCCAGGCAGTATTAAATTACTCATTCTTCTAGTTCCTGTTATTCCAGGTTTTTTTTTAATTTTTGTGCATTTCAATATCCACAGGCACATTCACACACATACACACACACACACACACACACACACACACACACACACACACACGTGTGTTTCCCTAACTTTTCAGGTGCATACCTGTTTCCTTAGAGAGATGACTAGAAATACTATAAAGGTAGACTTTATAAAATGCTTTTGAATTATTAAGATTTAACATAGGATATACATATAATCATATAAAGTATTTTTTAAATGAACTCCAAGAAATGGAAAAAAGATTTTGTTGTTGTTTTTTCCTTTTGTTGCTTTATTAGCTTATTTTTCTTTGGGAAGGTACATAAAAGGTAGGACAAAGGGTGAACAAATACAGCAATGATACTCACCAGACACTGTGTGAAAAAAACTATACAGTTTGTGGGTAGGGACAGGAGAGAGCAAGGGAAAGGTGATGTAGTTCAAAAAGAAATGTATTCATGTGGCTGGGAATGTGGCTTAGTGGTAGAGTGTTTGCCTAACATGCATGAAGCCGTGGATTCTAATCCTCTGTGCCACATACACAGAAAAAGCTGGAAGTGGTGCTGTGCTCAAGTGTTTGAGTACCAACCTTAAGCAAAAGAAGCTCAGGGACAGTGCTTAGGCCCTGAGTTCAAACTCCTGGACTGGCCAAAAATGTACTCATTACCTGTAATCCTTCTGTACATCACCTCTATGATAACAATGAGACATATCTTTTAAAAAGATATATAGGAATAACATTAATTTTTGCATGTGTGTGGTAATAGGGGTTGGACCTGAGGCTATGCACATGTTACGTAAGTGCTCTACCACTGAGCTACAGCCCTAGCCCTAAATTGTTGTTAATAGCTCCAACACCACAAAAATCATTTTAAAATACATTATTTTCACCTCCACATTAAGAAAAATATTTCCAGTTATGACATGGTAGTGCAAATCCTATCTGCTGTCTCTTGTCTATTACTCTTTTTTTTACACTTTTTTATTGTAAAAATACTGTACAGAGGGGTTACAGTTACATGAGCAAGGTAATGAGTACATTTGCTATCAGGCATTGTTGCCTCCTCCTTTGTGTTTCCCCTACCATCCCTTCCCTCCCAACTCCACAACTCCACTCCCCCACCCCGCCCCCACCACCACTCTGCCTAAATTGTAAAGCTAGTTTTTCAACATAATGTCTTGTACATCTCACTTTTACAATGGGTCAACTTGTATCCCTATTTAAGCATTTTAGTTTTCCCTTCCCCTCCCCAAATTAAAGAAGTGTATATACAAGATGCAGGCCACCAACATCAAATACAGTGAAAACAAGTGTTATACCATGGGAAAGGAACATACAAAGAAACAAAAAAAATCACATGGTACATTATAAATACGTTAGAAACAATAGCAATAAAGAAAAAACCACTTGTTTCCATATCTTGGGGTTCATTTCATTTACCATCATCTTATCTGGTCATATGTACATAGATTTTGACCTTTTCTGCTTGTCTTAACCTTCATCTTTTCCATTCCAAGAAGCTACCTTCAATTTTTTTTAAAAAGCTCCCATTAAAAAATGTTCAGATATTTTCATTCATCTTTAGTCTTACCTTCAAACATCCTCTAATTTCAGAATCCCATCATAAAATTGTATTCTGTATCTGATGAAGTTGGGTTGGAGGAAACGATGAGAACTATGGGAAGAACAAATGGGAAATAGATGAAGTTCTCACTAATCTCTCACTTTACACTTTAATAAATGTTATCAAAGGCCTATAAAACTGTGATCTTGGGTCAGGAGTCTGTAATCTTACCTACTTAGATTAAAAGGATTTCAATCCAAGGCTGGCCAGAGTAAAAAGCAGAAGATCCTATCTGAAAAATAAATACAAGAGTTCAAGACATGTGGTAAGGTGCCAAAGCCCTAAATTTAACCCCAGTACTGGCAAAAAAGACAGACAGACAGGAAGGAAGGCAGGCAGAGGGGGGGGGGTGGAGGGAGAGAGAGAGATCTATGATCTTTTTTTGTAATCCATTCCCTGACTATCAAATATTCAGTAAAAAAAAGGCATGCATTTTATATAGAAGCTATGTAGAACCTTTTAGAATGCACAGTATTTAAGAATCAATAGTTTAGATCTCATATAACAATTTTTGTTGTATCTTCAGATATTTCCAAATCTCTACTACCATCCTGCCCTTCCTTCTTTGACTTTGACTTTTTATACTTCAGATATTATTTCTTTGTTTTGTTTTGTTTTTTTGTTTTGTTTTGTTTTTTTCTTTCAGTTGTGGAGCTTGAACTTCTGGGCCTGGGCGCTGTCCATAAGCTCTTCAGCTCAATGTGAGCGCTCTACCACTTAGCCACAGTGCCACTTCCAGTTTTCTGGTGGTTAATTGGAGATTAGAATCTCACGGACTTTCCTGCCCTAGCTGGCTTTGAACCGAAATTCTCAGTTCTTGGCCTCCTGAGTAGCTAGGATTACAGGGGTGAGCCACCAGCATCAGACCCATTTCTTTGTAATTTTTATGACTATGAATTCTGAGTAAGATGCAGTTCTTCTGTTTAAATATATACAAGTATTTTAAACAATTTCATTTCATTGTTTTAAAATACTCAAGTTACAAACAGTATAGATATAAATGTAAGTCAGTGTTTTACTATTTAAGCATGATTTTATTTTAATTATTTTCATCTGTTTATTTGCAGGACCCTGGAGATGGAGAAGGTGGTTCTCTCAGAATGGTTCACTTTGGTTTGATGTAAATAATAACAAAGTTGGTGGGTTTTTTTTAACTTCACAAAGAAACTGGTCTTTTTCACATCTTTTTCATGCCCTGATTCTATTAAATTCTTCTTTATGCATTTTTATAAAGGAAAGACAGAATATGCAGCACAGCATAACAGAAAAGCATCATAAATCAATCTTCTTAACCTACTTACTTTCAATAATATACAAATTTTGGAAACTATCATACACCATTTGATGCCTTGTAAGTAGATTAATTTGTTCTCTCTAGCATTTTAAATTTCCTTCCTCATGTCTTATTTACATAATTAATTTACATTTAAATAAAGTATTTAATTTACATGTAAATAAAGTATTAAGAAAAATATCACCTCAGACCTAATGTTAGTAGGTCTATGTGTCTTTCAAATTATTGCCAGGATGTCCCCTGGAACACAGAGATGCTATGTCTGTGGAGCGAAGTGGAAGCAGGCTTACCACCTGTTATGAGATTTGAGCTCCTTAAGCTCAGGCTTCTGTCCTTGAAACAGCCCACAGTGTGCACGGTCATTTGGCCCTTTTCACATTGCTGTATGGGAATGTAGCTTAGGAAACAAATGCAAAAAAAAAAAAAAGTTGACATTTTGTCTACTGTTGTTGTAATAAACACTGTCCTTTGTCTTTGAGTCTAGGATCTGTTCAGCTATAGTTCCAAAATTTGTTAGCTTCAAAGTAGGCTAAAATCTCAGACCCTAACAGTTTTTTATTTTGGTGGAGGTGGGGTGAGGTAAGAAAGGAGGTAGTACTGGAAATTGAACTCAAGGCCTCACGATTAATAGTGACGTTTCCAGTCTCTTTCACAGTTCTTGTCACACACTCAGCAGCAGATATTTCATAATTGTAGCTTCCATAGTAATCATTCTTTTGAAATACTATCCATGAATTATAAAATTAAGATTTGTTAAAAATATACTTTAAATTTTTATTTCTAGTCCTTCTTCAGCTATACCCCTACCAGCAAAGAAAGAAGTTGATGCTCAGGGCTTTCAATGTGTTATTGCTCTAAAATGTTGGGTGTATGCCTGTCAGGTGCCTGTCCCAGCTAGGCAGGAAGCATAAATAGGAGACCCAATCATGAATGTGAGATGCCAGTGCTGGTTTTCCAATTTGGGCAGGCCAAAGAAAAATGACAGGCACAGTAGGAATGGGGTCAGACTTTATTTACAATCTCTCCTGCTCTCAAAAGCAACAACATACAGCTAACAGCACAACAACACTGTGTACAGTCCATCACACCCTGTCCTCCATTCTTTCATGTTTATACTACCATTAGAAAAAGTGGCATATGGCCAAAATATAACCTCAAGGTTTCCTAAGATCATGCATGTGTACATGACTCAAGGTTAGATGAATTTGATGAACAGGCTTCATCATAGTTCTTGGAGTGTGCAGAACTAAAGTGCTCCATTTAACCTATTTGAAAAATAAAAGCAATAAAGGGTGAGAGTATGGCTCATGTGGTAGAGTACCTAGAAAGCACAAAGTCATAAGTTCAAACCTGAGTATCATGACATACACACAAAATTAAATGAATCAAGTACCCACACATAAGATCTACAATTATGGAACTCCTTGATGAAATCTAATTGCATTCCATTGGGAATTCTTGGCTATAACATACTTCTGGCAACAAAAATAAAAGATAACTCATCAAAATTCAAAATTTCTGTCCATCATAGGAGAGCATCATCATCATCAGGACAAAAAGGCAATTAAGAAATGAGAGGAACTGGGAAGGTGGTTCAGTGGTAGAGCGCTTGCCTTGCATGCATGCGGCCCTGGGTTTGATTCCTCAGCACCACATAAGCAAAAAGAAAAAAGCCGGAAGTGGCGCTGTAGCTCAAGTGGTAGAGCGCTAGCCTTGAGCTAAAGAGCTGAGAGACAGCACCCAGGCCCAGAGTTCAGACCCCACGACCGGACCCAAAAAAAAAAAAAATGAGAGAAAATATTTTCAAAATGTGTCTAATAAGGGCTAAATATAGATAACATAAAGAACTTCTACAACTTAGATTGAGAAATAGGTATAAAAAGTACAAATAATTTAAAAATGAGCAAAGCACTTGAAGTCATTTCTCAAAAAATACATAAATAGTCCATAGCACATGAAATGATAACATCACTAATCTTTAGGGAAATGAAGAACAAAGCCACAATGACACACCACTTCATACACACAAGGATGGCTATTACTTTTTTTAAGAGGAAAGAAAAAGACAAATGTTAGCGAGCTAAATTGGCACGCTTTATGTTGTTAGTAGGAATGTAAAATGGTGCAGCCACCATGGGAAACAGTGTGATGGTTCTCCAAAAAATTAAAAATAGAACCACCATCTGATCCAGCAATTCCACTTCTTGTGTATGACTTGAAGAATTAAAAGCAAAAACCCAAACAGTATCTATATAACTATGTTGATAGCAGTAATATTCACAATAGCCAAAAGGTAGAAACAACCCAAATGTCCATCAACAGATGAATGGATAAACAAAATGTGGTGTATGTATATACACACTGGGATGTTCAGCCTTAAAAAGGAAGGCAATTCTGACATATGTTGTAACACAGATGGACTTTGAGGATGTTGTGCTAAGTGAAATAAGCCAGTCACATAAAACAAGTATTGTATGATTCCATTGGGATGAGGTATCTAGAGCAGTCAGATTCACAGAAACAGAAAGTAGAATTGTGGCTGCCAGAGGTTGATGGAAGAGGAAAATCAAGAGTTGCTGTTTAGTGGGTACAGACTTTTAGTTTGCAAGATTTAAAAAAAAAAATCTAAGCTGGGTGCTAGTGGCTCATGCCAGTAATCCTAGCAACTAGGGCTGAGATCTGAGGATTGAAGTTCAAACCCAGCCCAGGCAGAAAAGTCCCATGAGACTCTTAGCTCCAATTAACCATCAGAAAACCAAAAGTGGTGCTGTGGTTCAAAATGGTAGAGCACTAACCTTAAGCAAAAAAAAAAAAAGAGCAGAGCTTAGGGACAGCACCCAGACACTGAGTTCAAGCCCTACAACTGCCAAAAAGAAAAAAATAAAAGAGCCAAATGCCAAGTGCGGTGGTTTATGCTTGTAATCTCAGTTACTAGGAGGCATAGATTGGGAGGATCAAAGTTCAAGGACAACTCAAGCAAAAAGTTATTAGGACCCTCTCTCAATCAATGAGTCCCATGAATGGTGGTGCATGTGGTCCCAGATAAACCGGAAACATAAAAAGGATCATGGTCTGAGACCACCTCAGACAAAACCAAAGACTATTTGAAAAATAAAACACAAGGGCTGGGGACAGGGCTCAAATGGTAGTATACCTGCCTCACACGCTGTAGGCCCAGACTTCCAAAACTACCAAAACTTTGAGCCAATGACCCTAACATATCTCAGCAATGAAGACATACAGATGAAAAATAAGCATTTGAAAATGTCTTCTTAGAATTAAAAAAAAATATGCTGCAAGTGACAGAGGGACTTCTAGGGAAGGGCACAGAGACTGGGGATTGAATGCGAGGTAGGAGGGAGGGTAAATCAGGGTTGCTGGAGGTGGTAGGACCACAGTAGGATGATATAAGCATACATGGAAATGTCAGTGTGAAACCATTTGCATGGACAATTAATATGTAGTAATATGTACAATTTTAAAAGAAAAGATGTTCTACATCGTATGCAACTTTGGAAAATACTTTGGGAGATTCTTAAACTAAACATACTCTTTCAAGATGGTCCAGCAATCAGGTTCCTTGTTATTTACCCAAAAGAGATGAAAACATGGATGATATTGACCAAGAAACATTGGAATTATAACCCCTTTGTACAATTACATCATCATCAAATTGAAAACATGTACACCTAAGAACCTGTACACAGGCACTGGTGGCTCATGCCTATGGCTACTAGCTACTCAGGAGGCTGAGATCTGATCATCAATGTTTAAAGCTTGCCCAGGCAGGAAAGTCCAAAATGCTTATCTCCAACTAACCACCTGAAAACAGGAAGTGGAGCTGTAAATCAAAGTGATAGAGCTCTAGCAAAAGACCTCAGGTTCAAGCTCCATGACCATAAAACAAAAACAAAAAACTGTATACAGTTTTTTATAAATCACAGATTTGTTCATAATTTCCAAAAGCATGGAAGCAATTAAGATGCCCTTCATTGGGTAAACTGAGAAACTGGTATATAAAATTAATTGATGTTACTCAGCTCTAAAAATAAATGGATTACTAAGACGTAGAGACATTAAGAATTTGAAAGTGAATATTACTAGTGACAGAAATCAACCTGAAGAGATTGCATCCTATGTATCACATTCTGAAAAGAGCAAACCTACAAGTAAATCCAATGGATAGTAAAAACAAACAGTTACACTTTGGCATGATAAACAGGAGTCTACCATATTCACACAGTGAGATGAAAGAAGGATATTCTTAGGAGAGGAGCACAAGGGCTCAATAGTTCTGTGCTAAGATCATATAAAATGATGCTTATCAAAATGATTCTAAGAAATGGAAACGAGGTTTTTTTATTTTTCTGTGGGATTTTTTTTCTGTTTTCCCCCCTTTGTCACTGTTTTTTATTTTTCTGTACCTTTTGTCCTGTATGCAAGTTAATCTGATTTGGGGAGGGGAAGGGGAAGCACAGAAATGGTGGGACAAAGTATGAACTAATTGAGCAGTGATACCCATGGGCACTATGTTGAAAATGAACTATACAACTTGGGGGAGAAGGGAATTTAGAAGGAAAATCTGGGAGAAAATGAGGGAAGGGGTGACATTGTTCAAAAAGAAATGTACTGACATGTAACTAACCCCTCTGTCCATTTTTACAATAAAAAATTTTGAACAAATCAGTAAGTGCCAAGGATTATAGGGGTGAAATAAACAGGCAGAGCACAGAATTCTTAAAGCATTGCAATTACAGTACTCTGTATGAGTCTAACAGTGCATATATGTCATTGTTGGTTGGTCAAAACCATAGAACAGGGGCTGGGAAAGTGGCTCAGTGGTAGAGTGCCTGCCTCGTATGCATGAGGCCATGGGTTCAATTCCTCAGCACCACATAAACAGAAAAAGCTGGAAGTGGCACTATGGCTCAAGTGATAAAGCGTAAGCCTTGAGCAAAAGCTCAGGGACAGTGCCCAGGCCAGGGTTCAAGCCCCCACAGAAAAAGAAAAAGAAAAAAAACCCACAGAACATACAACATGCAAGTATGAACCCAATATATATTGTAGACTTCATGCAGTAGTGATGTGTCAGTGTAGTCAATGGCTATAACAAATGCACCTCTCTGCTGGGAGATGCTGATAACAGCGAGGCTCTGCATGTGCAGAGCAGGTGACATGGGAAAGCTCAGCACTTCACTTACAATTTTGCTGTGAACCTAAACGTGCTCCAAGAAAAAGTTACTTTTTGAAAAGTCATGGAGTTTAAAATTCACTTATAAAAACCCAGATTTCAAATTTATAATGTAATTCAGTGCCTACTTAGCATGAACAAGATCCTGGGTTAATCCTCACTACTCCATGCACACACAAACTATTTCCTCACAATTATTCTAACATAAACATTACACATATGTTTTTCTTGTGTTAAAAACTTTATTATTTATTAAAGCTTCTAACTTGTTATGAGACAGGAAGGTTCTTAATATGTAGCCCAGGGTGGCCTCAAACTGTCTGTCCTCATGCTTCAGCCTCCCAAGGTCTGGAATTACAGATATGAATGACATCATGCCTGGCTCCACTGGCTTTTTATTAAAAACAATTTTATTCAAAGCCAGTAATGTACAAACTTTTAAATAAAAATTAAA